GGTGATCGAAATTCCTGAACGGGGCTGCTTGTAACTCAGATATAGATGCCTACTGATTGGCTTATCCTGGCTCCTGGCTAGACTAATATAGATGCCTACTGATTGACTTATCCTGCTCCTGGCTAGACTGGGGAACAGGAGGGTGAAATCTGGACAGAGGGTCTTTGGTGGTTGAAATCTCCAGTATCTTATACTTATTTTTACATAGTACATTTTCCCTCCAATTCTTTATTTGAAGAGTAAGAGAAATTGGCCTGCAGATTTCCTGTATTGCAATATTCCTATTAGATTTTATCATAGCTTATGTTGTAACTCATAAAATGAGTTGGGAACATTTCTCCCTTTTCCTAAACCCTGGAACAGTTTGTTTAAAATTGCCATTAAGGGATAACTGGTGGTGTGGTGGTAAAGGTGGCTGGATCACCGATGGCTAACTGCATAGTTTCAGTTACAGACCTGGCAGCTTGAAAAACATGCTAGGCACATGTGTGTGTGCACACCAAAAGAATCTTGAGAGAACTGGAGGAGAAAAGATTGCAGTGTGGCCACCCGGGGAGAGGGGGTGCTTTCTCCGCCCCCCCCTCCCCCCAAAGTACACGTACTCTGTAACACTCTGTAACAAATTTTTTTAAAAAAAAAGATTGGCATTAGGTTTTTCCTAAGCATTGGGTAGAATCTCTTGGTAAAGCCATCTGGCCCTTAAAACCTCTTTGTGGAAAGTTTATTATGTATTTAAGTTTCTTTAATATTATATGAGTATGTAAATTTTCTATTTCTTTTGTGAGTTTTCATAAATTCTGTTTCTTCACTTAATCTAAATCTTCACATATTATTGGCATAGCATTGTTTATTGTAGTCTGGCAAAATTTCTTTGTTTGAATTTTCTCTTCATTTCTCTTTGTTATTAACCATTTTTTTTCTAAAGGTTTATGTGTTTATAAGTCTTTTAAAATAATCGTTTGGTTTTTGTGACTCCTCATTTTATGCCTTTGCTTATTTTACTTATGTCTGCTTTTTAATGTTACAATTTGTTATTTTTTAAGTTTTTGAGATAGAGTTTTAGATACCTGATTAGAAGCTTCTCATCTTTCCTAATACTTGTATGCATCTAAGTTCCTATGGCACAGCTTTACCTGCACTCTGCACATTCAGTGTTCACTCTGTAGTTGTTACTCTTTGTTATTCAATTCAAAATATTTTCTCGTATCTAGTGTGAGATCTTCTTGGAAGTATATTTATTACTATCTAAACATTTGGGGATTTTTGTTTATATTTTTATTATTTCTAGTCTCTTGCATTCTGACCACAGACCATATTCTGTATGATTTCTGTCTATTGAAATGAATTGAGACTTTCTCTATGACCTAGTATCTGTCAGCTTTGGTAAATATTTCATGTGTATTTGAAATAAACCTGTTTCAGAGTAGTGTACACCATTCTACCAAATGTTCATTAGGTCATGTTTGCTAATCATGTTATTTAAATCTTCTTTTGTAAAATTAAAAAAATATATTAAAGAATTATTTTATTTAACTTTATTTTATTTAGTTATGTAGAGGGATAGAATGAGGGCGATATGAGAAAGCAAGCTTCCAGGTCTGGGACTTGAACTGCAGTGGGCCGTGTTTGCTGATTTTTTTTTTTAACTGAATTACTTTTAAATCCAGTGTCCTTGTGGATTCGTCTACTTTTTTTTTTTTCAGGTTTTTGCCATAGGGTGCATGTGCTTTCCAGAGAGAGGCAAAGTGAGAAATCACCCCCTGAGGAGATGACTGCACTGCAGTCCTTCTGGAATTTTGTGCATGCACACACATGCACCTGTTGTGATTTTCAAGCTGCCAGGATCCCAAGAGAGGAATGGAGGAGAAGGACTCAGACCGCAGCCAGCCACCTGGGAGTCCAGAGCTCTAACTACCATACTACCTGCTGGCCCTACTTTTTCATTTTAATAAATGTTTGTTTATTTACCAGTGTAGGCTTTAAAAAAAAATTGCATTCTCAGAGAGAGACATCTCCAAAAGGGTCTCTGTGCCACAATTCACCCCCCTGGTGTTAGCTGGCCTGGATCATGCACATACAAGTACCCCTAACATACTCAGGTTTTGAGACAAACCCAGGACCTTTTCCATGTGAGTACTTTTGCTTTCCCACAGCACTACCACTTGGCCTTAGATATTTTATACCTTAAAAACCAGTTACTTTTAAAAATCAATGTTAAGTTAAAATGTGGCTCTTCAATTTAGTAATAGCTTTTGCCTCCAAGTCTTTCTTTATCTGGTATTAAATGTAGCTATCATTTGGGGTCAGGGACTTTTCATTAGCATGGTCTTTTTTTTTCACAATTTTTAATTATAACTTTATCTCTTATTTTAGATGACTTCCTTATAAATAGTACATCTATTTTATGTATCTGACAATATTTATCTTTTCTGGGGGAGAGGTTTTTGCTATAGGGTCCGTGTGCTTGCTAGAAAGACAGAGACAGAGGGAACCAGCAGTTAGCATAATGGCTATGTCGCTGGATTCCCACGTAGTCGACTGCGGTTCGTGTCCCAGACCCGGTGGCTTAAAACTCAGATGCCGGGCATGTGTGCGTGCGTGCCCAAGATCCCGAGAGGAGAATGGAGGAGAAGGGATTGCGGCGTGACCATCCCCCCTGGGGGGTGATTTCTCAGTAAATATATAAAGTTAAATAGAATAATTCTTTATATAAAAAACTATGTGTTGACTCTGACAATATTTATCTTTTTTTGGGAGAGGTTTTTGCTATAGAGTCCGTGTGCTTGCCAGAAAGACAGAGACAGAAAGCGAGAAATCAATAATTTAGTTCATTTCTGGGACCAGCAGTTAGCTTAATGGCTATATCACTGGACTCCCAGGTAGTCTACCACGGTTCGCGTCCCGGACCTGGTGGCTTAAAACTCACGCCGGGCACGTGTGTGTGTGTGCCCAAGATCCCGAGAGGAGAATGGAGGAGAAGGGATTGCGGCATGGCCATCCCCCCTGGGGGGTGATTTCTCACTTTCTGTCTCTCTCTCTCTCTGTCTGTCTGGCGAGCGCACGCACCCTATAGCAAAAACCTCTCCAAAAAAAAGAATAATTTAGTCCATTTCTAATATATTTGGACTTAAACCTAATATTTTCTTTTTTATTTGTACCATGTCATATATATTTATTTTCTTTGTCTTTTTTGTCTTCTTTTGGATAGATCTTTTGTATTGCTGTGTTATACCCCTCTTACTAGGTTGGTAGTTACATATACTTCTATTGTTTTATTCTTTTTTTATTGGCTACCCCAGGGGCTACAAGATATCTTTGACTTACCAAAATATAATATAAATAAATACTTTATTTCCTCCTGAATAGTGTAGACTTCATTGTATTGTAACTAACTATACTTATGCTCATTCTTACACCCATACATTTGTTGTCATAGCTTTGATTTTTTCTGTTATTTGATCCCAATAAAACATTTTATTACTGCTCATAATGTAAGCATAAGCTTTTATTTTCTATGCATTTACCATTTTGTTGCTATTAATTTTCCTCTCTATCATTGATCTTCTTATCTAGAATCATTCTCATTGTGCCTGAACACATCCTGTAACTCTTTTGCTGATGAATTGGCTCTGTTTTTGATTGTCTGGAAATAGCTTTGCTCTTCTCTTCTCTTGTATAGTTTTTCCATTGTTTTTGCTGCAAAGACAGCTATTTATCTACTTGTTGATTTTTTGTAAATAGTCTGTTTTTCCTGTGGCTGCTTTTAAGGTTATTTTCCTACCAGTTTTTTCTATGAAGTATGTATTATGAATTTTTGTGTTTTTTGTTTTGACTTTTTTTTTAAATTTATTGTCTTTCTTAGTGGATCTTGAATCAGTAGCTTGTTTTGTTTTTCAAGAAAAATCAGTGTTTTCTATGAAGTATGTATTATGAATTTTTGTGTTTTTTGTTTTGACTTTTTTTTTAAATTTATTGTCTTTCTTAGTGGATCTTGAATCAGTAGCTTGTTTTGTTTTTCAAGAAAAATCAGTTTTTGCAAGTTTTCAGTTTTTATCTCTTCAAATACTTTTTCTCTACCATTCTTTTTCTTCTGTCATTTGAGATTCAGTATCGGTACACACATCCAAGTTAAAAATACTTTTTTCTATAGTTTTTTCTGATCCTCAAATCCTGTAGGTTTTAATATTTCTATAATTTATTTATGCAAGATAATCATCATTCCTTTCCCCTGTATCTCCCTCTCATGTTCTTTTGCCCCAGTTTTTATAACTATCCTGTTAATATTATTTTTTTGCCATTTTTACAGATGTTAGAGAGATTAGCTACTTTGCCCAAGTTCACAGAGCTGCCAAGAGCCAGAGAGAAAATTTGAAGCAAAGTCCAATTGATTTAATATTTCTTGATCATCCTTATATAAAATTTTTGTTTCCTTTAAAAACATCCATTTGTCTTTCTTACTTGATTTTTGGAGAATAGCTGTTATCCAAAATGATATGTATATTGATGAATTATATTAGTCTATCTTAAAATAACATTTTAAGGTATCATTCCACTTATATTTATTAGATAAACAGAAGTGCACAAATTTATAAGGCAAATATTACTCATCTTAAGGAGTTTATTTTCTACAAGTTAAGAAAGATGTATTAGTTTATTCTAATAGAGGATAGGAAGCTAGGTTCCATGGGTAGAAACAAATAAGAAGGTGATATCTCAACGGACAGAATTAAAAAGTTCATAGAGTCGGTAGAACTCATCATGCAGAAGATGACAATGTAAGGATTATTTTTTTAGTGTATTGAAGAGTAACATATATTAAATACTTATTGGTTAATACAACTACAGAAAATCCCTAGAAGTGTCTCCTGTTTTATTTTTCTCCCTTACAGATCTGTTTGTACATACTTTGTCACTAATCGGTAGTCAGTCATGTAAGAATTGGAGTTATGTACATCACGTACACAATGATTGAAAAAGCCCTTTTTTTTTTTTTTTTCGAGGTCATTTCATTTCTGGCTGCAGTTTTGCATAAGAAGGGAACTCGTGAGGATATTGAAAATAACATGCCAGAGTTTTTACAAAGAAGTATGAAAAAGGAACCATCTTCTTCTACAGCAAAAAAGGTAAAGTATCTAAGAATATTCAACTCATTAAGCAAATATACAAACTTTTTAATTTTTTTTTAATTTGCTAAAGGCGCTTATGCTCACTGGGGATAGAGAGAGACAGGGAGGAAAAGAGGGAAGTGAGAAAGCACCTGCATGGAAGGTGGTCACACCTTCTCCATTTCTCTTTTGGAGATTTTGAGCACGTGTGTACACAGGCCTGGTGTATTTTTCAAACCACAGGATCCAGAACTCGAACAGCCCATTTGGCCACCTGGAATCTAGCTTCCTTAACCACTGCACCTCTGGATAGCCCAGCAAACATTTTAATACAATACATTTAGTATACATTTTAAAACATAAGATTTTAATATATCATTAAAATGTTTTTTTCTTAATAGGCCTAATTTTAAAAAAATTACCAATTTCTCCCTCTAGTTAAATCTGATTGACTCTGATATGGCAAATGTATTTTTTTAAAGAATTACTTATTACTATTACTTACTCGTAATTTATTTTAGAGAGATTTTTTTGCTATAGGGTGCATGTACTCGTCAGAGAGACAGACAGAGACAGAGAGACACAAAGCAAGAAATCACCCTATGGGAAGGTGGCCATGCTGCCCTTCTCCTCTTGGGATTTTGGGCATGTACACACATGCGTTGGCATGAGTTTTAAGTCATTGGGTCTGGGACTTGAACTGCAGTTGACTATGTGGCAGTCCAGTGGCATAACCATTATGCCATCTGCTGGTTCCCTATTATTATTTTTAACTCGCTGTAGGGCATGTGAACTTACCAGAGAGACAGAGAGAGGGAAAGTGAGAAAGCAAGCCTCCAGGGACCATGGTCCAATATGTGGGAGTCTAGCACCTTAACCAGCATGCCACCTGTTGGCCCCAGCAAATGTAATTTTTGCTTGAACTTGCTTTGGAGTTTCAGTTTGTTGCTTGGCTAGATTTACATGATTTATTTGGATTACTTTGTAAAACTTCCATAAATATATGTGTAAAGTTAAATGAACTCTTCATTATATTGCTTTTTACTTAAGTGAAGATGAAAAAGAAATAGTTATCAATATTGGACACAAAGGTGTGTCACTGATATTTAAAGTTGTTTAGCAGACTAATTAAAGATATTTGCAGCAAATTCTACCCTACACAAGGAAGTTGGAATAAGAAAGTCTGGGTTTAGGAGCCAGCAGATAGCATGGGGGGTTACAGCACCAGACTCCCACATTGTCAATAATGGCTTGAGTCTTGGACCCAATGGCTTGAAAAATTGCACCAGGCACATGTGCATGTATGCCCGAAAGCTCAGAATCTAAAAGGAGGAGAAAGGATTGCAGTATGGCCATCCTCTATGGGGATGATTTCTCACTTTTCCTTGCACTGTCTTTCTCTCCAACAAGTGCATGTGCTCTATGGCAAAAACCTAAAATAAGGGCTGGCAGGAAGCATGGTGGTTAAGGGTGCTAGACTTCCACAACATGGCCGACTGTGGTTCGAGTCCTAGACCTGGCGGTTTACTTTCTCATTTTCCCTCTCCCTCTCTCTCTCACTTTGTCCATCTGTGGTCAAATTTAAAGAAATAGAGAAAGAGAGAGAAAGAGAAAGAAAAATAAAATAATTCTTTAAGAAAAAGCTAAAAATAAAAAAGAAAGATTAGGTTTATGCTAATCTCTGCCTCTGCCCATGTAACTATGAAGCTATTCATTTCCATATTCTAGTCTTCTGCTCCATAAATGTATGTTTATAAATTTCTTATGTACAATTATAATAAGAAACCAGACATTTCTAATAAAACAGTGATATATAAAATGCATTTTATTTATGTGTCTTTTATATTATCTTCAGCATCCAGGAAACTGGATAGGAATGAAGTTGAAATATTTGAGAAATCTTAATTATACTGTGGTAATGAACTGCTTACAACAGTTTTAAAACAGTCTCTGTTTATATGATTCATATACAAGAGAAGTCTAGGTTTACTCTTGTCTGTCATAAAGGGCATTTCTTTGTAAAATTTTGACAAGTATTAACTTACAGTATTGTAATTGTTATCACTTTAAATTCTCTTACTATCTTTAATAGCATGAAGGTATCCCAAGTATCAGATTCAGTGTGATCCTGAAGAATGTAATGATTTTAATGTATTAATAATTTCAAGCATTCAAGAGCTCAGTTACTGTGTGTAGCTGTGGATTCAGTTTTTCTTTGGTTTGAAATGTTGGTATAGAGCTTATCTTTCTTTCTCTTTTTAAAAGTTTCTTTTTCTCTTCCTTTCATAAGAGAAACAGAGAGACATGTACCCCTGACAAGGTCTCATTACACCATGGCCTCCCCTGCATCCACCTTACAGCCAGCCAGGATCATGGTGCAGCCTCGGACAGGCCCAGTGTGTTCAGTTCTACCTGGGACTCAAACCCTGGGCCTTCTCACATGGCTCCAGGATCGTGCAACAGTGCCTGTACCACCACAGCTGGCCAGAGCTTACGTCTCTCTTAGGTGCCACTTGTGACAATTAGCAGTCAGGACGGAAAATAGCGTTTTGAATATTGAAAACATTTGAAGAATTTAGGTATTTTGAAATGTTTAAAAAACAAGGATAGTAGAAGAGAAAAGAAAGGTATTTGGGACCAGCAGATGATGCAGTGGTTGGGGTAAGGTGCTGGACTCTGTCTGACATGGCTGACCGTGGTTCTAGTCCCAGACCTGGCAGCTTGCTTTCTCATTTTCTCTGTCTCTCTCTGGTTAGTGTACATGCCCTACAGCAAATTTAAAAATAATAATAGTGACAAATAAAATTAGATAAATATGGTCCAGCATTTGGTATAATGGCTATGTCGCATGACTCCCATGTAATCAATCACAGTTTGAGTTCCGGACCTGGTGGCTTAAACTCACACCGGACGCATGTGTGTGCGTGCCCAAGATCCCGAGAGGAGAATGGAGGAGAAGGGACTGTGGAGTGGCCATCCTCCCTGGAGGGTGATTTCTTGTTTTCTGTCTCTCAGTCTCTCTCTTTCTGGCGAGCCCATCTGCTCTATAGCAAAAACCTCTCCAAAAGAAAAAAAAATTGATAAATAATTATTTAAGAAAAAGAGAGATAATCATTTGATGGTGTGATAAAATATGCTAGTAGCTATCTCATTTGATACTAATGCTTCCCTGTCCTTCTTTCCCTTTTCTCTCTGTCTCTCACTCTGTGTATATGTACATACATGCATAATTCCATGCTGTAATGTACAATGCTGGATCCCACATGGCTAACCGTGGTTCCCAGTAGCTTGAGAAACACGCTGGGCACGTGTGTATTCATGTGCCCCAAATCTAAAAAACATATTTGTCTAAAAAACAAAAATAAAAACCAAAACACAAATGTCCACTTACATTATACATTCTTCCTGCTTATGGCCACATAGCCTTAATTATTTCTTTTTAATCAAGCTTGTTAATTATATTGTTAAAAAAATTTTTGTAAAGATTTTTTTAAGAGTTATTTATTTATTTAATTCCATTTTTTAAATTTGACCAGAGAAAGACAGAGAGAGAGAGAGAAAGGAACAATGAGAGAGAGAGAGAGAGAGGAACAATGAGAGGGACAACCACCCAGTCTGGGACTCGAACCACAGTCGGCCATGTGGGACTCCAGTGCCTTTAACCACCACACCACCTGCCAGCCCCTATTGATTTATTTTTAAATTTGACCAGAGAGGGACAGAGCCAGATACAGAGAGAAAGAGAGAGCGGGAGGGTTGGAGGGGAGAGAGTGAAAGAAAATGAGAAAGCAAGCCACCAGGTCCAGGACTAACCACAGTCGACCATGTGGGAGTCTAGCGCCCTTAACCACCACGCCACCTGCTGGCCCCTACACTGTTAAAATTGTTAAAACTGTTATGATTTTCTTTTTGTCTACTTGAGCTCTTGGATCCTGAGAGAACAACATTATATGTTCCTATTATAACATAATAGCAGCTTAGAATTTGTTTCTCCTTGTTTTTGTACCAGCCTTTACGTGGTTAATATCTTCAGTTAATTCTTGTTTCAACAATTTTGTGTGCTTATGTATTGCTCTCATATTTTACTGAAGTTAATATGACAATAGAATTCTGAGTTCAAAATGTTCTCTTGTAACTTGGCCAAAAGCATTTTATTATCTTTTGTCACTCCATATTACAGATGAGGGTCCAATGCTGAACTGACTTTTTTTTCCTTAAAAAGAAGTTTTTCATTTATTTGTTTGGAAGTGTTTAGGACTTTTTTTTTATCCTTGAACTTTGGAATTTCCCCTGGCTCTAACACTCACTGTAGAATTCTTCCAAATAAGTTCTGCTTTAGAAAAATAGACCAGGGGACCAGCAGATGGTGTAATGGTTATGTCGCTGGAATCCCACATAATCGAGCATGGTTCAAGTCCCAATCCCGGTGGCTTAAATCTCACGCCAGGTGCATGTGTGTGCACACCCAAAATCACAAGAGGAGAATGGAGGAGAAGGGATTGTAGTGTGACCATGCTCCCAGGGGATGATTTCTCACTTTCTGTTTCTCTGTCTCTCTGGCGAATGCACTCACCCTATAGCAAAAACAAACAAACAAAACAAACAAACAAACGAACAAACAAACAAACAAAAACTCAAAAAAAGAAAAATATACCAGCACGTTATATAGGAGAAGGTGGACACTGATGCTAGAATATGCTGCTTTGAACCTGTGCCTTCTTAAAGTCACTCAGCCATTACTTTTCTTGACTCAGTCACTCCAACTTCATTGGCTGTTCTGAGGAGGATTTTTATTTTGTTTGGCCCGCTGTTGCTTTAGGTTCCTTCTGGAGCTTTGTTTTGTGCTTGGAAGTTTTCACTTTCACAGATAGAGAATTGATGACTCCGTTCTTCAAGTACGTCAGTCCTTGTCTGCCCCTGCGCGGTTCTCATCTGCTGTGGTGCCCTTCCGTGCCTTCTAACACTATCATGAATTTTTAAAATATTTGTTCTTCTGTTTCACTGACGTTGGTAGGTGC